TTAATACACAAAAATATACAATCCATACAAGGAACAAAAAACCACTTTATATTGTAAAATGATTTATTATCACCAAACAAAATCAACTAATCACCTACACTTAAGTAAAGGGGAAAGGTCTTTTTAGAATAGTGTACTTTTTTATGTTGTTTTGAATATTACAATTATTAAAATATTATTAATAAATAAACATAAAAGATAATTTTAATATTTTATTAGTGGTACCCCAATAACCAGGAAAAAAAAATCAGTAAGTACCGACTTTTGAAAGTGCATAGTGCATCCCAATTTTTTAGTAACACTGTTAAAATTTTGGTTCCCCTCCCCACTTGAATGCTTCAAAATTAGGATATTATCATATGAAACGATATACCCCTTATGAATCACATCTATCCATTCAAGGAACACAAAATCAGTCCCTACTTTGCATTAAATCTTCAAGTCCTCTTAAACCAGCCAAAAATTTTCATCTGTTTCATCAGTCTCTTGTTCTTGCATTATTTTGATACAAAAACAAATGGGATTGTTTATTCCTGCCAGGGATCATTCTCTGCCCTCACTTCTGATGGTTCAATTACTTCAGTCTCTGCTGCTGAACTTGGATCAGTTTCAGCAGCATCATCTTCTGATGTCTCTACCTCATCTCCATCTGCTCTACCCCATCTTCCTCCGAGGGCCATTGCCATCATCTCGTATATCTTGTTACCTAACTCTGCTGGGCTATCAGGCTGCATAACCAAGAAGAAAGTATGCATAAGATGGAAGACATGTCCAAATTTTAAATATTTAAGGAGGTGGTTTTTTCTAACAACTTACTGTGAATCCACTGGAGATCAATGCTGTATCGTATAAAAGGTCAACTGCTCTCTTGGCATCGGTGCTATCAGGTGCATTCTTACATGCAGCCTGCAAATAGAGTATTGCCGAAATCAATATCTGAATAACCACCATGCCTTTCTTATGGGGTCCCTAAATATCTCTCAACTACTTTAACCAAAACATGTTCTCCAAATAACTTTCAAATTGGTGCAAAAAAAAAAAAAATACACCCACATATTCAACAAAAATTAACAATCATCAAGAAGAATAGTCTTACATTTAAGTCTTTAACGATAGGGTGATCGGGATTGATCTCCAATATCCTGCGGCCCCTCATGAATTCCAAACTTGAAGTATCTCCAAGAGCTTGGGCTTTCATCAACCTTCATGACGCAGGAAAATATTAAATGAAGATACACTTAGGCTTGTATAATGAGAATTTGAAGACAATTACTAACCTCTCCATATTGGCCGACCATCCAAACTTGCCAGACACAAGCACACATGGAGATGAGCTTAGACGCTTAGAAATTTGGACCTTGGCCACCTTGTCACCAAGTTGTTGCTTTATCCAATCACAGAGAAGATTATATTCTTGTTTAGTTTCCCTTTCTTTCACCTCATCCTCATCTCCTGGTATAACAATAAATCCCCGTAAGATAGTTAACAGAAGAAAGTCAAAATAATATTGCCCAGCATCACAATGAAGTGAAAGAAGTTAGTACTAACCAAGCTCCAAATCCTCCTTGCTGATATCGACAAACTTCTTCTCTTTGTAGGTCTGAAGGTTCTGGATGGCAACTTCATCAATAGGTTCAATCAAATACAGAACCTACAAACAATGCCACATCAGCCATCAAGGAAAAAGCATCAATGGAACATTTACGCAGTATGTGAAAAACGACATCAGCTACACATAAGGAGAACAAAAGATCAGGATAATTCATGAACCTCTTAATTAACATATACAAGCATTTCTACTTGCTTGATTGCCATATTGAAAACAAACTCCAGCAGCCAAACCTAACTCTACAATTGGTTAGAGTTTCCCAAATTCAGTTTCAAATGATGTTCCAGCAGGAATGGAATTTTATTGTTTGGCCACCAAGTATGAAATTCAGTGTATATCAATTAGCTTCACATGAATTTTTTCTTTGGAGAAAAAAAAAGTCTTATACCTATAGCAATAAAAATACCTCAATGTCCTTCTGAACCAACTTCTCCAAGAATGGTGCAGTCTTTGCACTCTTCAAGCTGTCAGTTGCCAAGTAATATATAGCCTTTTGGTTCTCACCCATGTTTTCAACATATTCATCCAAGCTTGTCAGTTCTTCTTCACTTTTTGATGTGTAAAACCGAAGTAGTGGAGTTATGCGCTTATGATTACCAGTGTCTTCAATGCATCCTAACTTTAGAAACCTACCAAAATTCTCCCAGAATTTTTTATAATCCTGAGATTTAACCATGTTATAAGTCAATTAAAAGAATCAGGTAGAAAGAATAAGGGAGGAAAACACATGATAAAATCACTAACAACCTCTTTATTTTCACTTTCAGCAAGGTCTTGAATCATGTCAAACGTTTTCCTGACTAATCTTTTTCTCATAATTCTTACAATACGACTTTCTTGAAGAATCTCTCGAGAAACATTAAGAGGGAGATCGTCTGAGTCCACCACACCCTTGACGAAGCTCAAATATCGGGGAAACTGCAATATAATATATTAAGTTTAGCCAGAAGAAGTTATAGTTTAACAACACGAGTTAACAAGCTATTGTAGTAAAACTCACCAGCTCTCCATCAAAATCATCTGAGATAAACACACGCTTCACATAAAGACGTATATTCTTTGTTTTTGGATTCATCACCTCCTCATTGTTAAGAGGACCCATGCCAGGAAGGTATATTACACTCCTAAACTCCACTTCACCCTACAAGGTTTTCAAATAAAGTTTAATATCTAGCCAAAAATATGCAGCCAAATCAAAAGGCTAAAAGAAAAGTACCTCTGTTGTAAAGTGAGAATATGCAAGTGGATCCAAGAACTCATTGAAAGTCTTCTTATAGAATTCATGGTATTCATCTTTTTGAACATCCTTGGGATTCCGCATCTACAAGAGAGCCCATAAGACACATAAAGCAGTCGCATAAAATAGAAAAATACATAAAGGATAAAACAACAATTAGACATTTAAGGAAAAAGAAAATCAGTAACGTGAATCATTAATCTGAGTGCAAATTGAACATTAAACTTTACCCATATTGGTTTTGTTTCATTTGCCAATTCCCAGTCCCAGTATTTCTCAGTTTTACTTGTCTTTTTCTTTTGCTTCTCACCCTGCCAACAAGTATCAACACCAATTTAAACACCATATCAATTGAAGAAAGCCACCACTCACATTAAGATGGTATAATATAATTACCTCAGGCTCCTCTTCTTCTCCCTCTTTTGGGGGTTCTTCCTCCTCCACCTACACCAAGATCCAGTTAGTAAATAAGGAGAAAAAAAAAAAAAAAGGAAGAAGGAAAACCTTTTATGTGCTAAGAACTATAAAACTTATAAATGACCAGTGGATAAATTAACACTTTGCAATTTCCATTCACAGATCAAGAAATTAATATCTTCATAAATATTTTAAAGAACATAGTGAAAGTGAAGAAACTTAGAATGTAGTTTTATCAAGAGCATTTCCACTGAACATAGAAAGAGGAAGAGAAAACAGCCAAAAGCTGACAAGGCAGCAAATCTTCTTTCAATATTTCTGGTTTCTTTAACAACCTGCCTGATATGAAGTGCTTGTCATCAAACTAAAGGATAAGAAAAATTCCTCACCTCAACTGTCCTTGATTTTTCTTGCCAGGTGTAGATGGGGAAAGAAACAAACTGAGAGTAATTCTTCACCAAATTCTGAATTCTAGTGGGTTCTGAAAATTCATACTTGTCATCCTCCTGCAAGAAAACAATAGTTTAGGCATCCATTCACTGCTTCAAAAAAGTACATCCAACATAGAATGATACAGACATACACTACTTGCAATCAAATTATAGTTAACAAATTAGGAAGTTCGCTTAGCTGCTTCAAGTGATCTAAGATGTACAAAATATATCACCGTTTCCTCTTCCTTATGGTAACAAATTGAGTTGCCACCAAAGATATATTAGAAACACCAGATACATAAATCTTAATAGATACCAACTGATGATTAAGGAAAATGAACAGATTGAGATATGCAAAATGTTTTAAAAGAAAGGAAATGATGGGAGTAGGGAGTAAACACTTGATTTCAACCTGATTCCAACTAACAGTTTCTTTTCATATTTAAAAATGCAAATGGAAATGGATCAATCCACAAGATTCAAACAGTATTAAAAAATGAGAGAATGAAGAAAGAGCTAGCTTACTTTTAAATAAAGAGTGATTTGTGTTCCACGACGTAAAAGTTTTTCTCGATCAGTTTCTTCCCTTATCACATAGGAGCTACTGTCAGCAACTGCTTCCCAAACATATTGCTTATCTGACCTAGGACTCTTTGTAGACACCACAACCTGATTATGATATATAAATAAATAAGCAAACCCATTTTAGCTAGTAAAAAACTTAAAAGCATTATCACCGAGGTTTTATACAGGATACAGAAGAGAAAAGGACTAGCATCAGTAAAGCAGATTGAACTTCACCTTCTCAGCTACAAGAAAAGCAGAATAGAATCCAACACCAAATTGACCAATCAAACCATTATCTGCCCCAAGATCCTTATTTTCCTACACATGATAAGATGCTAAATGAGTAAGCTTTCAACAAACCATAAAACAAGAAATTATTTATACTAAAACTGAGGGTCAGGGAAATACCTTGAGGGCTTTGAGAAATTTTGAAGTACCACTTTGGGCAATCGTTCCAAGACAGTCAATGAGCTCTTCTTTGGTCATTCCAATACCAGTATCTCTGCAAAATATTACAAAACAATTAATAAGTCTCTTTTCCTTCATTATCTCCAAAGGAAATGATGAGAAAAGGGAGCAAAATGACACTCGATAAACATACGTGATAGTTATGGTCCCATTGTCTGGATCAGGTTTGATACGTATCTCTAGCTCTCCAGCATCTCCAAGCAGTGCAGGCTCAGTCACACTTAAGAACCTCAGCTTATCCAAGGCATCACTAGCATTGCTGGAGCAAAAGAATATAACCAAGTTAGGATACAAACCAATGGATAATGATTAGGTGATTTAGCCTTTACGACATGAACCCCTCATATAACACACAGCTCCTCAATAGATTCAATTGACATTCAAAGTATAGTCACTTCAGCATCTTAAGCTCCAAATTAACTGGAATCTATTTATATGATTACCTCACAAGTTCTCGCAGAAACACCTCCTTGTGGCTGTACAAACTATGAACTATCAAATCCAACAGACGACTGACCTGCAACCATTTCCAGAAAACTCAAGATAAACACATAGACATACATAAAATGATACAATAAAAAAATTTTAATGTTCAATAAATACGAGAAAAGGTAATAATTTGGAATCTCCAATAAATCTGGGATATCTCTTTCTTTCATTCAATTTCTCAGCTACCCAACAGGAATCCCAGAAGGAACCCACAAGGACGTCCGAAAAGGCACCAAAATCACGAAAACTAGGAGACACCCACCTCGGCCTGGTACTCAAACTTCTCACCAGATGTCTCTTCGGCCTCTTTATCAGCAACCGCAGCCTCACACCGCACCACAATCCGGTCGTTTCTCTTCTCAAGTTTCCACCTTAATCCGCTGCAAGAGAAGCCCTTTCTAGGACCATTCAGTGGCAAGAAAGCGCCTCTAAGATTAAAAAGCTTCTTGGGGTTTTTGAGTGAGAAGGGCGTTGAAGAAGGGATGGCAGCTAAAGAAGCAGTGGCTAAGCCTCTGCTAATAACAGGCGCCATTGACCCTGAGAAAGCTCTGGTTTTTGGAGAGATTTTAATCCGAAGTAAAAACTAAAAACCCTACACGGGGGTTTAAGGGAAGAAATAGAGGGTTCTATAATTGTTAATTACCAAACCGGCACCGCCTGTTTAGAAGTGCAAGGTCACGATTCCGCCATTTCAGCAACCAACAATATCCTCTTCATTTTACCCCTTTTTTTTAATTCATTTTTTTAAATTACAAATCCTATGCATCTTGGAAAATTACTTATTTTCCAGGTGAAAATGGTAAGGAAACTCCATCGCGGAAGAAATTTCAAGTTCTAAATTTTACTAATGTTTTTTCGACAAATTTAATCTAAAGACGAGGTTTTGAAGATTGTTTTGTCGACAAACATGGAAAATTTAGAAGTTAAAAAAATAAAAAATAAAAATAAAAATATTGAAATTGAGATTGAAAGTTATCAACTTTATAACCTTATTTAGCTTGAAGAACAAAAAAAATGATAACTTGATACAGAATTGAATAATTTGAAATGGGCCCAAAAAGGATTGAAGATTATTTGGGATGGTGAAAAATGCAAGGAACTATATCATTCTCGAAAATTAATATAGAACAGTAGAACTAGATATTTCATGGAAGAAACAAAAAGAAATTAACCAGGACAAGCCCTTATGTTTTCATGTGAAAAATATTCATGACACAGAGTTGTTGGTCCAATGCAAGACAATCTGTTATGTCATGCTCTTGAGCTTTGTGTCCGAATTCTCATGTGTCCCCTTTTCCTTTGAGTGGCCCTTTCTTTTTTTACTGCATAAACATTACGCCCAGGGAAAAAGAAAATTGTAGAAAATGGAAACTTAGGAATGGAAATTCAAAGATAAACTACCCTTATTTCAAATTAAACCAACAAAGGAATTTTTTTAAACTAAAATGAACATCTTGGAGGGATTCAGGATGTTTGTATTTGTGTCTGAATCCAAATTTACAGAGGAAACTGAATCTGCCTGTCTCCATAAACCTCAAACCTCTGCAGCTGCTTGCTTCAAACAATCAACATTGCACAATCCAACAGACCTCACCATGTCCCCAAACCTGCCATCAACCCCCCCAAAAAAATGTCAATAATTAATCAACAAAGAAAGAAACAAGAACAAATGAAGGATTGTCACTTAGTCACCTGTCGAAACTGTTCCTTGCTCTTTCAGAAAGGTCTGTGCTGTTCCTGGCCTTAACATTCCGATCAATGCTCTTCCTTGACTTCTCTCTCCGGTCAGTGCTGCCTCTTCTACTGTCTGTGCTCAGCCTGGACTTTTCTCTCTGCCCTGTACTTGCCCTGCCCTTCTCTTTCTGCTCAGTGCTCGGCCTGGATTTCTCTACTTCAAGTTCTGTGGTAGTCGGCGTGGGGGAAAGCCGTGGTGGAAGCTTCTCTATGGCAGATATGAACTTCCTGAGGTGCCTCAAGTACTCTGGATACAATTCTAAATTACAATGGTTTCCTCCTTTGAGCCATAGAGGCTCATACTTCTCTTTACACAACTCCCATAGCTGCTTCCCATGGGAAATATCCACCACTTCATCGTCAGTTCCCTACAAAGATTTGTTGTTAAATGGGAACATTCTCAGATTTTTGCATCAATTATTCTGAACAATATTATAATGCTAATTCTATCATGAATAAAGGCAAAATGTAGTCATGTTTGAGCTTATATGCTGGAAGTTCGAGAACATGTCTGATGTCACATTAATCACATAAATATGAACTCACATGGATGACTAGAACTGGGCAGTCAATGAGAGGAATTTTATCAATGTTCTGCATCAATATCAAAAGAGGTGCACTATTTAGTAAAAGAGGAATGAAATTAATGCTTGAATTGTTCTTGAATGAATAATTATAAATCTACATTGAAGAAATTGAGCAATGACCTTATAAATGTCGAACCAGAATGTACGTTTGACAGGATACATGACGCGGAGGCCAGACAGGATTGCACTGTGAAGAACCACCGCCCTCAGATGAGGCAACCGGACCGCCAGTTCCAGTGTTGGTCCGCTCCCCACCGACTGTCCGTACAGTATTGTGTCTTCTTGCTTTACCCCATATGTTTCTTCGAGACATTTATGTACTGCCTCTATGTCTGCATATGTGTCCTGCTCACTTGGCTAAGCACCAAACAGATACACATACATCAGAATTAATCAAAATTTCAGAAACAAAATGTGAATGTTAATGTCACATCACTTGACCTAGTATATATATATATATATATTTATGGACCTAGAGCTTGACCTAGTTTGATTAGCGGTTCTGCAGTAAATTTCAGACAGAATACCAACAAATTAGCCGAGTTAGTAACTACCAAAACTTTCAAACAGAATACCAAAAAGTTAACCAAATGAAAAATCACGATTTAAGAGTTCAAACATATGTAATTGATACACATTAATTTTTTGTACGCTAAAGAAAGGACAGACAAGATTGACGACTATACCTTTCCAGAGGATTGTCCATACCCAGAATAATCGTATCTGCACAAACATAGAGAATCAAACTGATACTTATCTGAATTTCTTGACAATTATGAATAAAAACAAGAAAAGATTGAAGCTTTGGACCGACCCCATCAGATTAACATTGAGGTGAAGGCTAAGCTCGGAGAAAATGTGGTACATCTGGCCAATATCTGCGGCATTTCCATGAGAATATAGCAGGGTCAGTGAAGCAGACGGGTTCTTTACGTACATGGCCACGATCTCGTTCCCTTTCTTGGTATTTAGCTTCAAGATATCCACGTTATCTCTTCGTTGAATCACATCGGAGATCATCATCTCCATCTTTCCGGATGACTGGTCGGCGGATACAGCGTATGACGGCGGGTTGGGAGGAAAGAAGGCGAATTTGGCGGCCATGGAGGATGTCGCAGTTCCCATTTTGCCGGTGGTGGGGGTTCTAGAATCACTGCATGGCCAGTAGGGATTGTTTTGGTGGTAAGAGAACAGAGAGAAAACAGAGAAGTGGGGGGGGGGGTGGTTTTGGGAAATGGAGATGCTCTGTTTTGGTTTGTTATGTTTGGTTCTCGAGAAATTTTGAGTGAGAAAGAGAAAGCCGGACGGGGAACGAACAAGGAAATGACAAGATAGACGGGGAGGAATTATTGTCGGTTATAAACTCAAGGAGTGATTTCCGGCTTCCAAATGGGTTAAAAGAATCAGGTTTCACTTCTGCTAAAAAAAAAAAAGGGGGAAGGAATCAATTGGGGTAGTATATGGATGACTTTAATTTTGCTTTTGTTTTTGTTTTTTTTTTTTTCGTTTTTAATATATATATAATGATTAGATTATAATATAATGATTAATATGATATTATAAGTATATTATAATTAATTTTTTATTTAAAAATTTATCTTATTGTGTGCATTTATAAGTTTAATAATAATTATAATTATAATCTTATCTT